ACCTATTAAGAAAAAACTTAAACCATGGTTACTTACCTATAATGACAATAATGAAGAGATTATTATTGGCAAGATCCACAAATATCTTCCAAACACGAATCAGTTTTCTATCTCACACTGAAATGCTATTATCAATTTAGAACATAACTATTATTACTCTCTTTCAGATCTGAACTGCACACCATATACTGGGTGCCATATTAATTCTAATAGAATTAATTGAATATGTACAATCAATGTATCAGCAACTATTTGTACTAGCTTTTTTGGAAGGAAAACCTCTATACTCAAACTTAATGCTAACTATCTGGATCTTATTTACTCAACAGTAAAGGTTGGAACCAGTTTGTTGGATCTGAATTTAAAACCGATTTAACCTAATTCGAATTAAAACCAGTTTGAGTTTTTTTTAAATGCAATTTTCGGATTTAATAAAACCGAAAAATCAAATTTAATAAAACTGGATTATCAAATTTAATAAAACCAGATTATTGAATTTAATAAAACCAGATTTATCGAATTTAATAAAACCGGATTTATTGAATTTAATAAAACTGAATTATCTGTGAAATCAGATTTAATAAAACCAGTTTAGATCTCGATTCTTAAGTAAATATTATTATCTGCATTTAGTTGTATGCAGAACTTACTTTAAATGTATGAAAAGAAAATTATATAATTACAGTAGTACATAAATGATCAAGTTTCTTCCAAATAAAATTATGCGTGTTTATATTTTTGTGTATCACATGTGCTATAGTATGCAATATTTTTTTTAAAAAAAAAAAATTAGTTTTGATTGGTTATAATAGAGCAGAAAATAGAAAATTTACTTTGTAATTTCTAAAAAATATGATATATTCGAATTTAAATTTTCTTTTTGAATTACGTTTTGAATTGCGTAAACTTTATAATGAACTAGATAAAGTTTTTCAAGTTAACACTTGCTGCTTATTATATGTATTGATACATATGTGCATATATGATAACGAAGTATGTTACCCATATGTATGTGCATATTCCAGTCAGAGCCACTGGATTTTAGCAGTAGCAAAAATAGCACTAGCTATATCACAACAACTACATAACCAAACTCAACCAAATTTGTTTTATTTTAATTCTATATGTCTATAGAATAAAAGTAAACCAATTTTGATCGGATTTGGTTATGTGATTTTAGTGATATAACTAGTGCTATTTTTGCTGCTGCTAAAATCTGGTGTGTCTGATTCCAGACTACTCTAAACAAAACAAATAAATAAAAAATGAATGCATTCGTACATACATATATCTTGTCACTGTGGAACCTGTGTGAATTTCAATGAAGCATTATATTGAATAAAAAAAGCTGCCATTAGTAAAATGTAAAAAAAAAATTAACAATAAAACAAAAAAAGTCTTACCAGAGTTATATTTAGAAGTGGAAGGACATAAGGCATCTAAACTTTACAAAAAAAATCCTGCTATTTTAATAAAATAGGACTTAAAAAAATCAATAATATCGAGAATTGTGAGATAGAAAATTCTGGTAGAATAATTCGAATTAGGCTTTATCATTTTCATATGTACATGCACTGACAATAAATCAAAGCAGGCAATTTGTCCCAATGAAGTTTAAGTTAACTTCAATGGATGAGTTTTTAACTAGATTACAAAATTGCCATCCCTATCAGTAACTTATTTACACTAAATAACCTTTCAAGTTTATAGATAACTTTGTCGGAAGCTATATTTAGAAGTGGAGGAAAAAAAACATAAGGCATCTATACTTTATCAAAAACCTGTTGAAGTGGTATTATTAACACAATATTTGTACTATTGTCTTAGTGGAATTGAATTTTAAAAAGTATTAATAATATCGAAATCATGAAATAGAAAATTCTGGTGGAATAAATCAAATTAGGCTTTATCACTTTCATATATACATGCATGACAGTAGTTTAAAGTTGGCAATTTGTCCTAATGAAACCTAAGTTGACTTCAATAGACAAATATTTATCGAGTTTTTAACTAGATTACAAAATTGCCATCCCTAACAGTAACTTATTTTACATTTATAATCTTCAAGTTTATAAATAAATAACTTCAAAAGAAAGTTGACATTGGATTTTTGTCAAAAATTCTTAATCTATAAATTTTTGCTTTGGAGCTCTAACAAAGTGGTTTGAGCAATTTATTTTCATGATACCAAGCATCTATTACATCTTCGTTGCAATTTGGCACAATATTTTCACTGGAAAATTTTAGGTTACTGGTCCTAATTATATTTTATGAATATCAACTTACATTTAACATCTTTTTCTTTATTTCATACAGTTCAAAGCCAAATAAAATGGAAAATGAGGATAATTTATCTTTGTCTTCTGAAAATAATTCTGAAACTGAAACCATATCAACAACTCCCATATCAACAACACCATCAGCTTCAAGTGCCAATAGTTTAGTTCAGAAAAAGCGAAAAGCTTCTTATAAAACCTTCACTAAAACAAGCATTAAACTTCATAACAACTGTAGCCATACAACCTATTTTTTTCGTCAAGATCCAAATGACCTTTTTGTTGCTTATTGTAAAATATGTGAAGCTAATTTAGCTGGTACACGATAAAACCCTTATCCATATAGTCGAAAAGATGAAAATACGTCAAATCTTATTAACTATTTACATGATAAGCATGGAATTACAAAAGAAAATTATCTAGGATTTTTAGATGAACATAATGAGGTATATACAAATTGCATATATTTAAGAGCTTTTAAGTCTTGTATTAAAAGAATTTTTTTTTATAGCCTCTGCATGGCCAAACCAAAATAACTGAATATTCAAAGTTAACGGCTTCATGCTCACCAAAATGACAAGAACTTATTACGCAAACACTTATTTCATTTATTGTCAAATTTGTACAGTCATTATATATTTTGCAAAATACATCATTTTGTGAACTCCTTTTTACTTGTGAGCCCAGTTACAGAATTCCATATGATAAAACAGTAAAGGGTTTAATTTATGACTCATTTTTGTGGAGCAAAGAGCAGCTTCGTTCACTTTTAAATGAAGTTGCTGCTGTTCATTTGACCACTGATTTATGGACTGCAAAATCATGCCATAGGTATCTTGGCATAACAGCAACATGGTCAACATCTAACTTTGAGCTCCATGAAGTGCTTTTATCCTGTAGCCATCTTCCATATCCACATTCAGATGAAGTTATTAGTGCTGAGTTACTCCAAGTTATTAATGATTGGAATTTATCAAATATAATACTTGCTATTATAACTATAATAGAGCCAATATGGTTAAAGGTATTCGGCTATTAAGTGAACAAGATCTACCTAAAGTTAAACGGCAATCTTGTGTTGCACATACTTTATAGCTTTCAGTTTTACAAGGTCTAAAACAATGTAAAGAAGTACATTGTCAAGTAAAATGTTTGCAAGCATTTTTTCATTTGCCAAAACTGGCCCAAAGACTCTGGGAAGCTCAAAAAAAGTCTGGACAGTCACTAGATTGTTATGATGAGCATAATCTACTTGATGTTATAACTGACATTAAAACTAGATGGAACTCGGTGTATTATGCTTGGAAAAGAATAATAGAATTACATAATTCGATGGCTATGTTTCTATCACATTGTTAACAAAGTCTGATCGAATATCGCAGCAAGAGGGTGAAAAATTAGAACAACTGTGTTTATCTTCTAGTGAAAAACAGTAAGATTTAAATAATTTGTGTATTAGGAGGTTTCAAAAATCTGATTATTTAATTTGTAATAAAAATACCCTGATCACTATATTAAAATTATGGAGTATTTTTATTACTTTTATTATAAATTACTATTAGACTACACAAAGTTGATTTTTCATTTTGCATTACCCACTGACCCAAAATTTTCAAAAACCCTATTTTTTTTTTTTTCGAGTCCCAATTACGCTAATTATTCCATTTTTACTGTTTTATTTTTCGATCTTTGTTATCCGGTGTTACCTAATGATGACTATAATTTTCTGGAATTATCCAACAGGATTCCAAGGGAAAACCAAACTCCAGGCTTTTAAAATCTATAATTTTCTGGACTAAAACATAAAATTGTAAGCCTGAGGTCTGGTTTTCCTTTGGCAACTTTAACATTAAAAAAAAAAAAAATATATATAAAAAAATTAAAAAAAAAAATGACTGACCGACCCAATTTTTTAATTCTATGTAATGCAAAATGAAAAATCAACTTTGTGTGGTCTTATGCAACTATTTTTTGTAATTTAAAAAAAAAATTAATTTTGAAACCTTCTATTAACAATTGAAAAAAATTTTACTTTAATCAGGTTAAGGCCACCCACTCATTAGTTATTAAGTTTAATTATATGATCGCTATTATAGCTTTACTGGGTGACTTTAACCCAAGTAAAAAATAAATACTTCTACCTATAATTAAAATCTAAACTTTAAATAAGGTTTCTTCAGGATGCAGTAAAGCTTTTATCATTGTTTAAAAAAATCATACGCTATATATGTGGGACCATGTATTGTACTTTAAGTCTTGTCCATTTTTATGTGGAATTATTAAAAAAGGCATTTGCTTCTAAGTATGAAGATGAAAAAAGCTATAATACATATCTGAATTTAATATATAAACAACAAGGTGAAAGTAGCAATGAAGAAGAATATGATAGTTCAACTAGTAATGATGATAATGAAATTCCATCTGGTGGTTCACGATGGCATTGGCAATATGCCCATCATCAATTTCAACAAAGAATACAGATGACTAAAGAAAGAAGAAAAGGTAAAGGAAGAATAACGAGCCAGCACAAAAGAGCTAAAAAAGAAATAAATGTAGATGAATTCAATCGTATTGAATCTTTACCAGTTGCTGATACTAATGGTCTTCTTCAAAAAATTCAGGCTGCTATTTTTTTATCACTAGACGAATTATGATCAGCACCATCAGATATAGTTCTAATTGCAACAATCTTAGACCTCAGATTCAAAGATTTTAAATGAGATGATACACTTGAAGAAAGAGAAAAATCTTTAGAACTATTACAAAAGCTATATGATTTCGTGAAAGAAGATTCTCAAGACAGAGATATTAATATGCAACAACAAATATCTATTTATGATTGTTCAGATGATGATGATTTTTTTAAAGCTTTAGAAAGTAAATTAGGAGGTGGTTTGTCTGTAGTTGAAAATGAGGATGAAGTTATACGTTATATAAGACTTCGGCAACTTGATGTTGATCAGGATCCTTTAAAATAGTAGAATGTAAATAAAATGGGTTTTCTGTTCTCTCACGTCTTATACAAAAATATTTGTCAATTCCTGTAACTTCTGTACCTAGTGAAAGATTGTTCTCAGCTGCTGGTAATTATATATCTGCAAAACATACTCAATTATCTTCTGATCTGGTTAACCAGGTATTATTTTTAAGAAAAAATAGCGAGCATTTTGATATGTTCAGACCTAAAGAACCATAAAATTACAATAGTCTTTGATATTAAATTTATAAATAAAAACCTCAATAGGATTATTATTATTGTTTATTATATTATAGTCATTCAATTTGGGAATTAGAAGAAAATTCACTAGAGATAGATGATTACTTTTATAATTAACTACTATCAGATATTAATTAGTCATATTCTTGTTTAAAGATAAGCAATTACAGTATGTAGTATGTAATATGTAGCAATTAGGATTAGAATTATATAAATTTATCATTATGTATATATTGAGCCCTAAAATTATTAATATATATCAATTTAGTTATCTCTAAAAATGCTGCAAGTAATAAATAGTAAAAATTCGATTGTAATCAAAATTTTTCATATAAATTTATATTCAATAATACTGTCTTAACTCTACACAAGAAAACACTATTTGTTATCATGTGATTAATTAGTAACTTCTATCACTAAAAGACACAACTCAAATGGAAAGCACAAATAGAGCTTATGGATTCCTTATTCGAATAATTTAGGTCGGCAAATATCTATTGAATATTTGTTGAATGACTAACAGAATTCGAATAAGTACTATTTATTTGAATAACATAGATATGAAGTAGATATGTTTATTTGAATTATTTATTAGACAAATATTATTCAAATATTCGCTGAATACGAATATTATTCGAATAACAAATATGTATACAAAACTCTAAACATGAATGGTGGATGATCACAGCGTTTCCAGATTTATGATCAAGGTTATTGTTGGATCTATTTTTTTTTTCTTTAAAAAAAAGAGATTTGTTAATTTATTATCTTTCACATTGCTTGTAAATGTGAATTTTGACTCCAATCCATTACATCATTTAGTTGATCACTGCTTTGACTTTTATGCATTCCTATACTGTTCATAAAGATTGTTGCACAGATATACATGCTGGAAAAACTAAAAATTTCAAAATCCCACCCAAATTCCAAATATAATAAAATTGTCCCAAATTTCATCCCAAATATAATAAAATTTGTCCCAAATCCCAAATCCCAATAGTTTTGCCAACAAGTATATGTAATCATCGAAAGAGAAAATACTAAACCCAAAATAAGTATTAAACCTTTTTTTTTATTTTTGTTTTTTTATTTTATTTTTTTATTTTATTTTGCTTTATTTGACCTTTTGCTAAAACATTTTCTCTATTTTTAGAGTTCTAATGCTAAATTTTTTTTAGATTTAGCAAAATGAATAACAATTCTACTAAAAGCTAAAAAGGACTGGAAATTCTTTATTATTAGTTATTGCAAGCATCTGGATTTATTCTTGAGAATTGAATTTTTTAAAAAAAATCTAATCGAATGCAACAAATCGACCTGGGACCTTTACATTCCTATTCTCAATTATTGATTATTAAATAAAAAATAAAAATACAATAGGTAACTTTTTTAACATATGGGCTGCCATCAATATAAATAAGGCAGATTGAAATTTTTTAAAAAAATTGATAGCTTCAAAACTCACCGAGATGTGAGCTGTAAAAGTTAAGGTATCAATTTTTTTAAAATATCAATATGCCTTATTTCTATTGATGGCAGCCCATATTGATTTATATATATGCAAGTTTAATCCATAATTAACTGGCTTTTCTGACACAATAATTAAGTCTTTCCAATTCATTGTGATACAATAAATTGGAAAGACTTAATTATTGTTTTAAAATTTTGCTACTACAATTCGGGTTGATTTGGTTTTGTGGTTTTATTTAAATTCGAGTTGATCTGATTTTACAAGTTTATTACAACTGCAAACCCAAATTGTCAGCTTTATTTAAATCCGGGTAGATCCGACTTCATGAGTTTATTATAATTACAAAACTGGTTTTATTTAAATTCGGGTTGATCTGATTTTGCAAGCTTATTAAAATCGCAAAACTGAATTTATTTGGTTTATTTAAATTCAGTTTAAAACTGAGTTTGATTTTGGTTAAGAGATTAAAACCAGATTCTATAAATAAAACTGGTTCCAACCTCTACTCAACAGCAATTAAACATTCCTCATGAATTCTATATAACTACCCTACTATCAATATATCAAACTTAACAATTGCTGAAATTTTTAAATCTAACAAATGTTCAAACAAACTTGAAGAAATCTTTCAAAATAATCTGTTATATAAGAAATTTATTTTTTATACTGATGGATCAGTAACTGATATTGGAACTGAACAAAGCTCAATGGGCATTGGATGGGTCCAA